ATAAAATTAGCTAGAACTCGTTAATCCACTTTATATTGCTAAGCGTATAACTTTCAAAGTCTCGTGATCAGCAAAATCGGATCGGGATTAAAAAGAGGATATCCGCCCGGTCACTGGGGTGGGATTCACAAAACCATAAAGTTCACCAACTCTATTAGCAAGAAAAGACAGTTTATATACATATTATTCTACTCCTTAATTTTTGTCATTAAATTAAAAAATTAAAATAAAAAAATTAATTTAAATGATTTATCATTTTGGTATAAAATTAACCCATGTTTCTAATTTTGCAAGCAAATTTATAATATACTTGTTGAATATATTAGAGTTTCCGGATTATAAAATAAAATTATCAGCTTTGAAAATCCAACTTTATATTGTAAAGCATATGATTCCTATGGACTAGGGATAAGCATGATCGAGATTAGGATTTTAGACCCCCATAATCTACACTTATCTCCCAATGAAAAATAATTCTAGTAATAATTCTAGTATGCCGAGTTTGAAGAACCGAGTTCGGTTTAAACTTTTTAGGTCGAGTTCGAGCAATCGAGTAATTATCATAAAACCTTCTATCTCTCTTTTTTGCGCCGCAAGCGAAAATTTTGGATGGAAAATTCTGAAATTTTCAAAATTTAAAAACTCAGCCCATCCTTATAAGGACATAAAAATACACAGTTTAACCGAGTCAGTCGAGTAGGAAGTAATCGAGCTCGAGTAATTTGAGTATAAGGATCTAGAGTTCCGAGCCGAGTAATGACGCAAATAACCCTGCTTTCTAGTCGAGCAACTCGAACTCGCTCGAACCGGACGTACACTAGTTATTAGAACATCTTTACAGTTTATTTTATTATATTATGTGTTTATTTATGAGAATTGGTAAATTTTCAATAAGATTTTTTAAAAAATTTTTGGAAAAACTGGAACCGCCAAAATTTACAAAAATCGGTTCCGGAACTGGAACTGCCAAATTTAAAAAACGTTCAGGAACTTGAACTTACCAATGAAGCTTCGCTGGCACATGAAACTTTCATTTCCAATGAAGCTTTGCTGTCAAGGAGTTTTTCCAGGGATTTTGGCAATTGTGGAGGGACGGCATGGCATTTTGCAATACCGAATTTTTCTGGATTCTATTATCCCTCGCATTTAGGTTTTTCAATGAAAAGCTGACTGACAATGTTGGAGAGAGAAGAGAAGTCATGTTTGGCATTCTACATTGTTTCTTCCTTTAAATTATCCCCCCCCCCCACCATCCCCCTCTTCACCTCCACTATCTCCCTCTTCCACATTCCATTGATTAACTTATTCTCTAAGCATGACTCCTCTTGTGATAATAGAATAATAGAATTATTGGGGGGAGGGCATGCCATTTTTTTGTCTCTTCCTTTAAATTTGCCTGGCAATGTTGGAGAGAAGAGAGAAGTCATGTTTGGCATTCTACATTGTTTCTTCCTTTAAATTATCCCCCCCCCCCCCCCCACCATCTCTCCCTTCATTCCATTGATTAACTTATTCTCTAAGCATGACTCCTCTTGTGATAATAGAATAATAGAATTATTGGGGGGAGGGCATGCCATTTTTTTGTTTCTTCCTTTAAATTTGCCTGGCAATGTTGGAGAGAAGAGAGAAGTCATGTTTGGGATTCTACATTGTTTCTTCCTTTAAATTATCCCCCCCCCCCACCATCTCTCCCTTCACCTCCACTATCTCCCTCTTCCACATTCCATTGATTAACTTATTCTCTAAGCATGACTCCTCTTGTGATAATAGAATAATAGAATTATTGGGGGGAGGGCATGCCATTTTTTTGTCTCTTCCTTTAAATTTGCCTGGCAATGTTGGAGAGAAGAGAGAAGTCATGTTTGGCATTCTACATTGTTTCTTCCTTTAAATTATCCCCCCCCCCCCCCCCCCCACCATCTCTCCCTTCACCTCCACTATCTCCCTCTTCCACATTCCATTGATTAACTTATTCTCTAAGCATGACTCCTCTTGTGATAATAGAATAATAGAATTATTGGGGGGAGTGCATGCCATTTTTTTGTTTCTTCCTTTAAATTACCCCCCCCCCCCCCACCATCTCTCCCTTCACCTCCACTATCTCCCTCTTCCACATTCCATTGATTAACTTATTCTCTAAGCATGACTTCTCTTGTGATAATAGAATAATAGAATTATTGGGGGGAGGGCATGCCATTTTTTTGTCTCTTCCTTTAAATTTGCCTGGCAATGTTGGAGAGAAGAGAGAAGTCATGTTTGGCATTCTACATTGTTTCTTCCTTTAAATTATCCCCCCCCCCCCCCACCATCTCTCCCTTCATTCCATTGATTAACTTATTCTCTAAGCATGACTTCTCTTGTGATAATAGAATAATAGAATTATTGGGGGGAGGGCATGCCATTTTTTTGTCTCTTCCTTTAAATTTGCCTGGCAATGTTGGAGAGAAGAGAGAAGTCATGTTTGGCATTCTACATTGTTTCTTCCTTTAAATTATCCCCCCCCCCCCACCATCTCTCCCTTCATTCCATTGATTAACTTATTCTCTAAGCATGACTCCTCTTGTGATAATAGAATAATAGAATTATTGGGGGGAGGGCATGCCATTTTTTTGTCTCTTCCTTTAAATTTGCCTGGCAATGTTGGAGAGAAGAGAGAAGTCATGTTTGGCATTCTACATTGTTTCTTCCTTTAAATTATCCCCCCCCCCCCCCCACCATCTCTCCCTTCACCTCCACTATCTCCCTCTTCCACATTCCATTGATTAACAAATTCTCTAAGCATGACTCCTCTTGTGATAATAGAATAATAGAATTATTGGGGGGAGGGAATGCCATTTTTTTGTTTCTTCCTTTACAGGGTGACATAAAAGAAACTGCACACTTAGTTTTTGGCATAACTTTATTCAAATCAAAGATATTGGGCTCAGATAAAGTTTATATGATAGAGAAATAAATAAGGAATAGAAATTGTCAAGAATTTTCGAAGTGACTCTCCCTTATTTGGATAAAGAGTAAAAGGCGCGGAGAAAAATATTGAGTAAAAGTTCGCAAGTCGAAAAATTTTTTTCAGAGAATAAATTTTTTATGAACTGATCATGTCAAAATTACCAAAGTGACTTATCTTGGGCAAAAAAGTCTCCTCTTTCTAATCCACTTGTTACTTATTTCCAAAACCTTTTTTCTTTAATGATATAGCTTGTTATTTGCAGAAGGTTCAAAATCCCCTGATTTTCGTGAATCCTTATGGTTTTCGTGGATTTACTAGAAATCCTTCAAGGTGTTTACAGCCTTGGATCCGGAGCCACTTTTGGCATAGGGAAGGGATCCTTTATCAGAATTCTTCCTTTTTTAATAAGACCATTAAAGTGCAGGGTTGGTGTGCAGCCAACTTACCCGGTTTTAACCCATCTCAAATAATGCCACCGTACTCATCGGATTTGAATCCGTTGGATTGAATTTTTATTCTGCTTTGAAGGCAAGGGTCTGTTCTTAATAAAACAGAAGTTTTGTGTCGCTTCGTCAACCACTCGCCCAGGAATGGGAGAAAATCTCATCCATATAGGTGCGAACTTTTGCCTAAAATTTTTCCAAGCGCCTTGAACACTGTATCCGAGCACAGGGTGGTATTTCGAAAATTCTTAATTGTTTTGTTCCCCAATTATTTCTCTATTATTTAAGCTTTATTTCATCTCATTATCTTCAATTCGAGTAAAGTTATTTCAAAAATACTGTGTGCAGTTTCTTTTATGTCACCCTGTAAATTACCCCCCCCCCCCCCCCCACCATCTCTCCCTTCACCTCCACTATCTCCCTCTTCCACATTCCATTGATTAACTTATTCTCTAAGCATGACTCCTCTTGTGATAATAGAATAATAGAATTATTGGGGGGAGGGCATGCATATTTTTGTTTCTTCCTTTAAATTTGCCTGGCAATGTTGGAGAGAAGAGAGAAGTCATGTTTGGCATTCTACATTGTTTCTTCCTTTAAATTATCCCCCCCCCCCACCATCTCTCCCTTCACCTCCACTATCTCCCTCTTCCACATTCCATTGATTAACAAATTCTCTAAGCATGACTCCTCTTGTGATAATAGAATTATTGGGGGGGGGGGGGGGGGGGAGGGAATGAATTATTGGGGGGAGGGAATGCCATTTTTTTGTTTCTTCCTTTAAATTATCCCCCCCCCCCCCACCATCTCTCCCTTCACCTCCACTATCTCCCTCTTCCACATTCCATTGATTAACTTATTCTCTAAGCATGACTCCTCTTGTGATAATAGAATAATAGAATTATTGGGGGGAGGGCATGCCATTTTTTTGTTTCTTCCTTTAAATTTGCCTGGCAATGTTGGAGAGAAGAGAGAAGTCATGTTTGGGATTCTACATTGTTTCTTCCTTTAAATTATCCCCCCCCCCCACCATCTCTCCCTTCATTCCATTGATTAACTTATTCTCTAAGCATGACTCCTCTTGTGATAATAGAATAATAGAATTATTGGGGGGAGGGCATGCCATTTTTTTGTTTCTTCCTTTAAATTTGCCTGGCAATGTTGGAGAGAAGAGAGAAGTCATGTTTGGCATTCTACATTGTTTCTTCCTTTAAATTATCCCCCCCCCCATCTCTCCCTTCACCTCCACTATCTCCCTCTTCCACATTCCATTGATTAACAAATTCTCTAAGCATGATCCTCTTGTGATAATAGAATTATTGGGGGGGGGGGGGGGGAGGGAATGAATTATTGGGGGGAGGGAATGCTATTTTTTGGTTTCTTCCTTTAAATTACCCCCCCCCCCCCCCCCCCCCACCATCTTCCCTTCACCTCCACTATCTCCCTCTTCCACATTCCATTGATTAACTTATTCTCTAAGCATGACTCCTCTTGTGATAATAGAATAATAGAATTATTGGGGGGAGGGAATGCCATTTTTTGTTTCTTCTTTTAAATTTGCCCCCCTCCCTCTCCCTCTCTATTCCCAATGAAGCTTTGCTGTGAAGGAGTTTTTCCGAGTTTTCCCCATATCTCCTTTTAACTCTGCTATTGCCTTCCACTTTCTATTGTTTAACAAATTCTCTGAACATGACTGTTCTTGTGATTGGGTTGTCGGTTTCACATATTCTTCGCAATTTCTAATGATACTCTGAATTCTTCTAAATAGTATTTAAAAGTTTTGAATATATTTACTCATTTTGTATAAGCACGACATTTTTTAAACAAAATAATTTTATAAAATATTAAAGAATACATCTATATTTAAATTTTTAAAATTATTTTAGGCTATCATTTTATGATTATATTTAAGTTGCCGATTCTTTCGCCATTTACTTTGGCTTTGCTAAGCTTAGTTCGAGGTAAGTATTTTTTTATTAATTTTAATGCTTTGAAAATTATTAAAGGATTTTTTAATATTCTTTTGGGCTTTGTGTTAGGATTGCGCGATGTGGAGGGATTTCTAAAAAAACTGAGACCGAGGATCACCGAGGCTGTAAAACCAAGATCGAGAGCCGAGGGGCAAATTGGACGAGGTCCGGGGTCGCGCAACCCTAATTTTTTTGGCAAAGCCCTGAAACTTCGTGAAGGACAGAATGAACAATCGTTAATCCAACTTAACTAAACAGCTAAACCTTTCAGCTGAATGTGGAATTATGGCAATCCCCGAATCTAACTATTTGAAAATGGGAGGCTAATTAGATAGGGCCGATTGGCGAAGATCCAAACTAACTCTATTTGTAAACGGGAGTCCAATTGGCTTGGGAGGCAAATACAACTAATAAGGATATTTAATAAAATGGATTAGTAAAATTAGCTAATCCGGAATTCTTAAAAATTATTCGAACATTTAAACATAATATTATAATTTTGTCACATTTAAATTTCAGATAAAGGATCGATTGCTGGTTGTATTCCAAGTACTCGAAGTCATGGAACTGAAGTATTTGGTTAGCTTTTGTTTATTTGGAGTTCTTCTCTTAATATAATTTTATTTTTTAAATTTAACTTTTAAGAAATAGCTACAACCTCTCAGGTAAGTGAACCTAGATGTAACTGTCAACAAAATACGATTATGGAATTAAACACACAAATGACAATTAATGATGTTGTAGTAAAATTTACACATCGAGGTGATAATATTGGTGAAGGGAATTTTGGTCTGGTGAGATATTTTTGTTTTAATTTTCATTTAATAATCTCTTAAATTCAAGGTTATACATGCTTTTGATTCTGATAATAATAAATGTTTTGCTCTAAAAGCATCTGTAATTGATGAAGGAAATGAACACGTAGTACAAAGAGAATTGGATGTTTTAAATTATTTTAATACATTGGAAGAACAACATGGATTTGCAGCAAGAAATCACATTATAAAAATGCATGAAATGTATGTAGGTGTAAAAACTCGGTATAAATGAGATAAAAAAACTAGATTTGAAAAGTTTAATGTGTTTTCCTTTGACTTTTTTATTTTAGTATTGAAAATTACTTCAATTATTTTTTAAGGAAACGTGAAGCTAATATGACGTATTTACTCCTAGAGCTTGGAGGAAAATCTTTGGGAGAGTACTATCGTAACAAGGTTTCACTCATGCATGGAAGAAGAGTAAAAAAGCAATTTCTAACAAATATTCTTAAAGGGGCGGCTCAAGCACTCCATCAATTCCATCAACGTGAGAATAAATAAACACTAAAATATTATTAAATAAATTTAGATGGAATTCATCTGGATGTTAAAGAAGATAATTTTGTCATAGCTCTTGATGAAAATCAATCTGAATCCAATCTTAATCCAGAATCCAATGAAACAATTCCTTTCAAATTGATTGATTTCAACCTTTCTGTAATACCAGAAAGAGGACATGTTCTTCAAACTGAAATGATGCTAGCTGTAATAAAAGCTCCTGAGCTTCTAGCTGATCAACGCAATGTAATTTAAATTTTATTAATTTCACAGTCAAATTGTTTAGTATTGCCATTTGTTGGCTCCGGCTCCGGACATTCAAAATCTTGGCTCTGGGCTCCGGCCTTTTAAAATCATGGTTCCGACTCCGGAGCCGGCGATTTTCGGAGTTGCTCCATGTTGGATTCGGGCTCCGGGTGGAAAATCAATGAATTATTTTTCATTGGGGGATTTGGGTAGATAAGGGGGGATATCGAGTTATCGTGTGATTTAGGTGGATTAAGTTCGATATCGGGGAATTAAACTGTATTATGAGGATTTGGATCCAAAAATCTCTGCGAAAATTTGTAAAATTTTTGACGATCCTTATGCCAAAAATCTTCCTTTTTTACGCCGCAGGTGTAAATTTTGAAAAATTTTGAAAAAATATTCAGACTTGTTGAGGACATCTTTATTATTCGACCTCTTAATCTCAATCCATCTATAGCTCCTACACCTTCAATTTTACCAAATCGTTAATTAAAATTATCAAATTTTTTATAAATTATTTTTAGCTTACCGAGAAAGCTGACGTTTGGTCATTTGGCTTGATGGCTCTTGGTCTCTTCAACAATTCTTTTAAAAATTATCGTAACTTTGATTTTTATACATAAAAAATTTTTTTTAAATAATCGTTATAGTAAATAAATCCTATCATGAAATAATTGGTATGGTAAATCATTACAAAACCAATAGAAATTTTAATGGAACTTTAGATAAAATTATAAAGGTAAAATAATTATTTGTTATAAAATTACTTATAAGCAACCTTTAGAACAATTTGTGCCCCTCAAAAATAAATGTCTTTAGTGTAGGAATAAAAAAATTTTTATGGTTTGAAAAAATTTAAACAATTTAAACAAAATTTAAATTTTTGTCCTTTTAGGGGTGCGCACGCTTAAATCCTTCATTTTTAAATAAAAATATTTTAAACAATAAGTTTACGAAGAAATTATATTAACCATAAAATCAGGGAAACCACATTGTTCCTAAAATGCCTCTTCTTTGCACGACATTTTATTTCTATTTTTTCACATTTATTTTTAGAGTAATTTAACCAAAAAGGGAAATAAATTTTAGGAAATTTATTTGATTAAAATAAAATTCCAGAAATGCCTTGATGAAGATCCAAACGAGCGCCCAACAATGGATGTTGTTTTCCGTGTTTTAAATGGAGAATAGTTTTGTAAACGGACTTGTAAAATGATACCAAAATCGAGAAAATTTAAACAAAAACAAAAGAAGTCCGAAAATTCTTATTTTTCCTATATTTGTAGCTTTATTTTTTTGTGGGTACTAAGATTAGAACGATATTTCGGGTATCTCAAATCGTAACATTTTTTTCATATTTAAATACCTATATTTTTTCGGTATCACGACTTTTGCGCCGAGAACATTTGCGCCGCGACTTTTGCGCCGCGACTTATGCGCCGGGCGACTATTGCGCCGCGATCTTTGCGCCGCGACTTTTGCGCCGGGGGACTTTTGCGCCGCGACTTTTGCGCCGGGCGACTTATGCGCCGCGACATTTGCGCCGCCATAATTTTAAAAAAATATCTAAAGTCGGACTTAATTATACATAGTGTACTTTTTAAAAATGGTATCCAGAAGCTGAAGGAATTTCAGTAAGTACAATATTTCGGGAAGTACAATATCCCCCTCTAATAAACCGCCCCTAGAGGGGTTATCTTCAAAGAACTTGACTTTTTCAAATCAGGATATTTGGTCTGTTACCCTTATTCAGGCATGATTTTCTGCCAGAAGAGGGTGCACTATAGTTTAAGGTTGTCGGGTCCAGATATCCGGATCTGAAAAAGGCCGGATAGCCGAAAATTTTAAGTCGGATATCGGATACGGGACTTGATATCCGAAGATCTCCAACTATCCTACATCTTCTATAGTGAGGTCCGACTGTAGTTTTTCATAATTATTAATGATAGTGGCGGCGCAAAAGTCGTCCGGCGCAAAAGTCGCGGCGCAAACGTCGCCCGGCGCAAAAGTCGCGGCGCAAAAGTCCCCCGGCGCAAAAGTCGCTCGGCGCATAAGTCGCGGCGCAAAAGTCGCGGCGCATAAGTCGCGGCGCAAATGTTCCCGGCGCAAAAGTCACGCAACCATTTTTTCGATCCATTCTTTTTAGCGCTATTAAGAAAGCTGAAATTTTTATCATTGGGTTAAAAAATTCTGGCATTACTGGGAACTGAACGAAACATACTGTTATAATGAACTATTAAGTGGTCTTTTTTCGGGTCCAGTTGTCTATATCCAAAAACATTATTGGGTAAGCATATTGGGTGGGTTTATGTAATTTGGTAGCTTGTAGCTGACAATGAACAAAACAAAAAACCTTCACTTTTATTTTATTTTTTATTAAAAAGTTTTCTTTATTTTATTTCAAAGTTATTGGGACAAAACCGTTTAATATTGAAAAAACCGTATACCGTTTATGCCGTTTATCTGAGACCCGTATACCGTTTCGTTTATTTTTTAAGACCCCGTTTAAAATTCCGTTTACCGTTTATTTTTAAAAATTTTTAAAAAGGACCAAGTTTATATTTTAGGCCAAGTTTATATTTTTCAAAAATTTTTGCAAATTTTATAAAGGATAAGAGAGTATTTGTATGGATTATGGGAAAATAGGAAAATAACACGATATTGCCCCCAAATTTTCTTAATAAAAAATCTGACACTTTTAGTGAAATTCTCAATCGCCTGCTGCGTTAAAAAAGGAAGAAATAAAGCTTCTTGACCTTCGAATTCTCGAAATTTTTGCCTGTTCGCTAAACAAGGATGTGTGCGGCGCTAAAAAGTTGAGTTTTTTGAAGGACATAGAAGGTCAGTTGTAATTAGCAAAGATTTTGAGATTTAAGGAATCAAAGTAGCCAAAATTCTCCCTTTTCAGCGAATTTTGATAATTTTGGAATTCCAACAAGCTATATTTCTTCCTATTTTTTGCGCCGCAGGCGAAAATTTTTCGATTTTAGCGTATCAGAAGGCAAGAATTCACGTTTTAAGCCACTAATTCTGGGAAAAAATTAATAAACGCCGTTTAGAAAGACCGTATACTATTATTTTAAATGCTATTCAAAATTGCAATTTGTTTTTTGGTAAAGAGTAAATTTTAAAATCCTCTAAATTTTTATTTTTTAAAGAGAAAATAGCTAAATACAGTGCGGTGCATATGTTTATCAACTTTTAATTTGTAATTTAAAAAGGGCTGTTATTATCCTAATTGCTGAAAGTAAATCAGAATTTTTTCAACAATTTAATACGTCTATATATCTAGTCTAAAAATCATTTAAAAGTTTTATTTCATTACCATAGGGAAAAAGTTATAACAATTTAAATGTTGCTGTCCTAAAGTTTGCCGGTGCATATGTTTATCAACTTTTATTAAATCGAAGAAAATTTTATATTGCAATGTCCCAAAAATTCTACAAAAATTTATGTGGACATTTCCATCGATAAAGTGTAGAAAAGTAACTAGAACGAAGTCTGTAACTTATTTTTTCACTGAGATCTCAAATCTCAAAAATCAGCGGGAAATCGGATTACAGTACTTCAAAAAATATTTTAACCCCCAAGAGCTTGATGTGGAAAAATACAGCCCCATTTCAACAAATTAAGAATTTCCCGGTTTCCCGGCCGGGACCCGGTCATTTTTGACCGGGTTGAAAACGGGAACGGGAATTCCCGGTTTTACCGGTCCGGGTCCCTCCCGGTCAACCTTCAGAACCCGTTTCCCGGTTCCCGGACCCGGTTTTTTTCAAAATTCCGAAAAGGTTTTTTTCAAAATTCAAAAATTTCGATCTCTACTTCGAAAACCTTTATAAACCTTTATTTATATGTATAAAAATAATAAATAAATTAATTAAATAAATTTTTTAAATTTAAAGTCAAATTTAAAAAGTGAATTATTAAAATTTTAAAGTGAATTTATTGACAAATTTTTTCGACTTGCTTTAAAAATTTTAAAAAATTCAATAAAATGTTAATAGAAATTTTTAAAAGTTTTATCTAATAAAATAATAACAAAAACAAAACATATGTTGATAAAACAACAAAATTTGGTAATTCCAAGGCTGGTCCCCCCTTTTTTTCTGTTCGCCTGACCATTTTGAGCTTTTTTGCATGACTTGACATATAATTTACAATATATAATTCGAAAGAGCTGTCGATCTTAGTAGAATGATACTATAATCGGTTAAATTTGGAGATTCTGAGCAGAATTAGTAAGCTAAATCCTCGATGGACATGCTTTTTGTGATGTTGAAAGGGATTAAAACAAATGCTCATAACTATGTTTATTTAAGTCGGATTTCGATGAATTTAGTACGTTCGACTTAGCTTGAAGAGCTCTTTCGAACTATATATAATTTGCCATAAAAAGTTTAAAAAATTGAAATAACTAGAAAGGAAAAACGGCCTTGGAATTGACCAGCCTTGGAATTACCCAAAATTTGAATACATGAAAATGTG